TTTCTCTCGGCAGGAACTGATTTGTGAATAGATGTTTATTTGGTGCATCCGTGAGTGGAGGGAGAGTTAGAAGCTTCCCATACCACCACGTTGCTCGAGGTCAATTTATTCCTGCTGTAGCAGAGTACTCTGGCTGTCGGGGAGAAGGGTGAGCTGGTCACACGGGCTGCTATGAGCTGAATGAGTCCCCCAGAAGTTCATGTGTTGGAAACTTGATCCCCCTTGGAACAGTGTTAAGAGGATGGGAAATCCGACTATGGTATTTGAAAGGTGGGACCTTTAAGAGGTGATTGGATCATGAGGACTGTGCCCTTGTGAGTGGATTAACCCATTCATGGAGGAATAGGTTAATGGTTTAGTGGGTTGTCATGGGTGTGGACTGGTGGCTTTATAAGGACAGCAAGTGAGCATGTTAATGAGCACTCTCATTGATTCTTACCATGTCACTGCCTGCATTGTTGCCAGTTTTTGTAGTCACCACCAAGAAAAAGACCCTCACCAGATGTGCCTCCTTGACCTCGGACTGTCCAGCCTCCAAAACTATAAGAAATAAATTTCATTTTCTTATAAATTCCTGTTTCAGGTATTATACTATGAGCGACATAAAACGGACTAATACATGGGGTAAAATGAGGCACAAATAATAGCAGGGGGAGTAAGGGTCACAGTCAGTGGAACATGTGGCATGGCACCTCAAAGGTGAGGGCTGAGAACCCCAACCCAGGCAGTCAGGGAGAAGACCCTAGATAGAGGCCCCAAGATAAGTCACGACCTGTCACATGAACAGCAGTCGGGACAAAGGTGGGTATTTGGCCTGGAGGGGGACAATGTCTGCAAGAAGAGGAGCCTGTGGCTAGCCTTGGACCATAAGAAGAGGAGTCACAGGAACAGGGACTCCCACGAGGACACTAGATGTGGATTCCAGCTCATTATAAGGATCATGCAGGCAAAGCCAGGCCACAGCACAGTTAGAGTTTTTCCCAAGGTGAAGGGAACTTGAAAGTGGGAGTCCCTGCCTCCGGTGGTTTTCCAGGCAAGGCTGAGTGACCACCCCACGGATGCTGCGGAGAAGAGCCACTCTCTCAGACAAGGATGAAGTACACCGCTTCCAAGGTCTTGGTCAGTTACGTGCCGTCCAAATCTGTGGACTCCAAAATGTAATGACAGGTGAGCTGATAAAGCGAGGACTTCCTTGGGGAGGATGGGCTGAGTTTCTCATTATCCTGAAACCTTCTATAAGCACATGAAGGAATTATAAATAGCATGATTGGTGGCCTGTATTTTCTCCATAAATTACTCCCAAGGACCGCCTCTGTGGATAAATTGCTGTGCAATGAGTGACCTAGACCCAGGCTGGCTGCTGATTTCCAAAGCATAAAGGGTCTCACCTTCTCATGTAGCCCCTTTCACATGTCCTGTAGGCTGGGGGACATGATGGTAGTGTCCTGTCGTCCCTTGCAAAGGGAGCAGGAAGGGGAAACACTAATTTACTTATTTATTTATTTTTAAAGATGACCGGTAAGGGGATCTTAACCTCCTTGACTTGGTGTTGTCAGCACCACGCTCTCCCAAGTGAGCCACGGGCCAGCCTTGGAAATGTTAATTTAAATAAAAACAGATTGTGGTCCCTTCTGCATTTTAAGGGATGGGAAACGGTGTAATTCATATCTGTAAAAATAAATCTCTCCTGTGTAGAGACTTCTCACTGGTACAGAGGCTGTGGGGATGGGAGAAGGAAAGCCACACTCTCAAGCTCTGCCCTGTTGCAGGGCGGCCCCTAGGGGACAACCCGGGTGGGGGCAGAGAGAGTGCTCAGCCCAGGGACAAGCCTGGAGGCGGTGGTGGTGGGGAGGATAGAAATTGCCTTTTGCAATAAATCAAGGGAAAGTGGGTTTTTCAAGCCAGATTGGGGGAGGGGTGAGGAGCCCAGAAGGGGAGGGAGGAAAGAGCCAGCAGATCTCAGCAGCTGGACAGGCCATGGCCCCTGCGGCACTCAAACCTTCAGCAAAGCCTGTAACTCCAGTCTTGTGTGGGTGGTACCCTGGAAAAGTGGGAAGGAGTAGGGGTGCTGCCCAGTATGGGGGTTATGGGGGTGGGAAAGGGCAAGCCCACCCAATGGACTATGAGGAAAAACCCAATCCCCCCCAACCCCTGAGGTATTCACATACGGAGAACCCTGGGCTTCCAAAATATTTGGGATGGGGGCTCAAGTTCCTTAAAAATATTACATCTAGGGCACCTCACAAGCTGGGCCCCCATGGCGCTGGCCATCTGGGTCAGCACAGAAGCAACCACAGGGGTGGGAGAATCTTAAATCTGGGCTCCACAGAACTGGATGTAACAGCCTCGGGCTCAGGGCTGCTCAGTAGCACCAGATGCCCTGAGCCCCTTCCTGGGTGCCCCAGAAATCCCAGGGCCACTGAGATGGAGCCAACCCCAGCCCCCACCTTCACCAATGTCCCCTCTTAGCCCTAGGTGAGGGAAGCTTGGGCACAAGCCTACATCACCAGCTGGCTTCAGATCCTTCCCAAATCTGCACAGAGGTGGCACCCACAGGGCCCCCAAGGCTGAGACACAGTTCCAGGCTAAGGGGTGGCCCTGGCATCATTGGCCCTGAGGACTCTGAGTTGGGCTCATGCACACTGACCAGGTGGAGTGAGGGTGGGGGTACTACCAAGGCAGCAGCCGTGCAGCCCTGGGGAGGGCACAGGGGGCGCTCCCATTGGTCCATCATCACAGGCAGCTGCGAGCTGCTGCTGGGTGCACCACTTGCCCCTCGTCTGCTTATGATGTTCCTGGGGCCCAGAGAGTGTGAGGCCCTTGCCAAGGTCACCCAGCAGTAACCCCTGGGCTCAAGGCCCAGTCACAAAGCTGTGGATGGCAGAACCAGGGCCCGGTATGGAGGCCCAGCCAGCCCGAGGACAGTGCCGAGGCGGGGACCGGGCTTGTGGACACACAGGTGGACGCCTGGAAGCTTCAGCACAGTTGCAAACCATCCACAGCTCTTTTATTTCCCTGCTGTTAAATGCTTAACTGAAGATTGCTTTCTGCCATCCGATGAGCTGTGCTCAGAGGACGCCAGCTGCGTGGGTGAACCTGCTCTCTGGGGACGGATGGAGCCAGCCCCACAGCACGCGCCACCCCCACCGTCACTTCCAGAACCACTGTGTCCTGGGAAGGGCCTTCTCCGCTGCACTGATGCCCCTCACTGAACATAGGGGAAACTGAGGCAAGGTGGATCACCGCGCTAAGCTCATTCACACTCCCCTACCCCAGGCGAATGAGGTCAGCAAATCCCCCTGCGGCTCTGCTGCAGGGCCAGACACACACATGGCACCGTCCACGGGCCGTGGGGCTTCCTAACAGAATGTGTGACCAGCCGACACTGAGCAGAACGTGGACCCTCAAGCTCGGAGCCAAGAGGCGGCCACCACCTGACGCCAGCAGTGTGACCTAAGGCAGGACACGGGGCTGTCCCTGTCACTCTGCCCACCTCACTGGATTGCAGTGAGGATGCTTCCAGGGCCTGTCTGGAAAAGCAGCTTGGGAACGAGCAGATGACACACATGACTCTGGGCGTCAGGCCGCCTCTCCCAGGCCCCTCCTCATGCCACTCCCCAGCAAGCGCCCCTGGTGTGCTCTGCATGGCACGCGCGGAAAGGGAGGGGCTGAGCCTCAAGAGTATCTACACCTCTCTGCATGCCCACAGCAGAAGTGACCCCTGTCGGTTCTGCAGGAGGCTCACTCCACCAGTCCCTCTGACTTGAGGCCTCCCCTAAGCTGGCAAGGAGATAGGAGGGACAGGCTTGGGTGGAGCTGGGAAATTCGGGGAGTCCAGGACGGGGACAGAGGGCTGGGCCTGGAGATCCTGATTCCAGCCAGGATCCCAGGCCAGAGGGATGGGGTGGGCCATGGGGTGGGGAGGGCCTCAGACACCAGGCCCATCCATGTGGGTAGCGGCTCAAGGTAGGCAGAGGACTGTCAGAAGAGCCGGTGACAGGTGGCTGTGAGCTGGGCTCTGCCCAGGACTGAGTGGTGCACACTATGCAGTCCCTCCCGACACCTTGGAACCCAGGGCTGCCCACCAGCAGACTGGGAAGAGCCCTTGCCCTGCTAGACTGGCTGTTCCCGCGGGTGCCCTTCTCAGTTCCGGCCCTTCCTCAGGGCCACACGTAGTTGGCCTACCCAAGGCTCAGGTAACAGGGACTTTCTAAATGTCTGTCAAGGCTGTGGGGGGCAGCCGGACATTCTGTGAGCATAATGACAGGAGCTAGGCTGGCAAGAGATTAACCACTCATGCAAGAGATGGGGATCGGCCACACCAGGCAACACTCGAGGGTTTAACCCCTCTATGCCACTTCTGAAGGAAGAAAAACAGACCTGGGAGGAAAGGCAGCACTGCAGACACTGGGGATCACCGGGTGGACCGCCCAGTATGAGAATCCTCCCTCCCCCTGCTTTCCCTTCATGATTGGCCAGTGCCAGGCCAGGCAGCCTTGTCCAGCCCAAACAGCAATCCCTGCTGCCCTTTCACCCTCAGCCCCACCTGCAGCCCCACCGCCAGCCCCCTACCACTCTTTCCCTTTTCCCACTCCAGGAGCCCAGGCTGGAGGAGAAGCTGAGATGCCATATAGGCCAGACCCCACCGTGGCATAACTGTGGGCCAAAATCCCCTTTTCCACAGGAGAAGCTGAGGCCACGGGCCTGGCTAAGACATTGCAGAAGCTTCCCCTGCTATAGACCTTCAGGGGAAATAAGTCCCAGCACCACTCTGAAATGTGGGTCACTGGGCAACAAGGCTGGCCTGGGGGTGCCCCAGAACTGGGCAGGAAGCCCCAGGCAGGGCTTTGGGGGAGGGAGGCTGGGCCAGGGAGGAATCGGTGGTTGGTGGAAAAGACAAGAAGGTCTTTTCTTGGGTCACAGTTGTGCTAAGGGCCTTAACCACCCCCAAGGGTCCTTCCAGCCCCTCCTGCTCTGGGGGCCCTTGAAGAGGCCAAGGCAACAGTACAGAGGATTTATTGACCAGACTTAGCAGCAAGAACACAGCAAAGGTGAGGCCTGTACAATCCAGCCTTGTGGGGAGCGGGGCGGTGAGGGCGGGTCCAGGGACCCCAGTGTCTCTCCCCCATGTCCCCCCAGGAGCCCAGCCCCACCCCTGCTCCAGGCCCCTCCTGAGATGAGGAACAGCAAAGGACTGTATCCTTGAGGGGCTGAGGAGGCGGGTGGTGCCCAGAGGGGGGCCAGCACCGGGTGCATGCCTGCCCCGGCAGCCAGCAGGAGGCAATTCGTGCAGGGCAGAGGGGGCGTGCAGGTGGGCAGCCAGGCTCACCACACAGAGCACTTGTGGGCAGGGTTCATGGGTGAGTCCTTGGGACAGTGGAAGGCCCGGCCGAACTCCTCGAACTGGGACACGCTGCCCAGCACCCTGGGGCAGAGGGAGAGACCCACGTAGTATGGGTCCCAGCGGCCACCCCCATCCTAGCTGCTGGGTTGACTTCTGTCCCTTCACCCCTTCCCTGATCCTGCCCCAGACACGAGGAGGAGCTGAGGCCCAGGTAGGCAGGTGGTCATACCTGTAGTGCTCAGGTGCGTGCTTATCGGTCAGCACCTGCAGGTAGATGGACTGCGACCGCCGCTTGATGCACCAGTTCTGGGTCCCGGAGGCAGGTGGAGGGGAGGAAAGGGGGAGATGAAACCTGGTGTCGACTGCCCACCCCACCCAAGGCACGTTACGCCATATGGCCCCCATCAGAGCCACGGGGCCATCACCTCTGAGGGGAGGGATGACAGGAGACAGGCTGAACGAGCAAGGCGATCATGTGAGGCCTGGGCGAGGCAGGACTGGGGCTGAGCCTGGATGCTGTGCCCCACCTCAGCCCCCAGTCCAGAACCCCGCCCGGCCCACCTGGGCAAAGGCAATGAAGAAGAGCTGGTTGTGTGTGTACTTGAGCCGATGCAGCGGGTGCTCCGGGCCATGCTCCCGCACCCACTTCTGATAGGCCTGGGGGCACAGACAGCCGGGCACTGCTGTGCCCACTCTACCCTGGTCTACCCACTCAGCCCCTCCCCAGGATGCCAAGCCCAGGAGAATGCCAGCTCCTCACCAGCCCCAGCTCTACACACCACCACCAAGCTGAGTCTCTGCCTGGCCACCCTCCCCACACCATGCTCCCCGCAAAGGTGGGGCCTGTGAGTCCTTCCTCTTGCAGGGGACCCTGTGCCCACCACAGGCCTCGCCCCAGCCCAGGCTGGAGATCAGCAGAATGGCAGGGAGGGGTGGCTACATCTCTAGCCTGGAGTTCTCATCAGCTTCCCACCCATCTGCCGGCAGCCACAGAGGACCAGGTGGGGGCTGCTCACATAGTAGGCAAGCTTGAGGCCGCCCATGTCTGCGATGTTCTCACCAAGCGTGTGTTTCCCATTCACCTGCCAGGAAGGGAGGAGACTCAGGCTCTGCTACCCTAGGCCCCTGCCTCTCACCCCCGCCCAGCCCCTCCTTCCCTTTCCCAGAGGCTTTGAGTGGCACTCCAGCCCCCTGTGCCCTCCCCCCCTACGTACCACGTGAGCCCGTGTGAGCTCGTCATGTGCCCCTGTGAGTGTGAACCAGAACCCTGAGCATGTGTGCAGGGACCTGGGCATGGGTTTGTCAGGACACATGCGTGTGCACATGGGTGTGCATGTTCCCAGTCCGTGCTCAGCCAGACCTGAAGGGGGCCAGGGGTAGGGTGGAGGCGTCTCACCCGCTGGTTGTAGACGGTGAAGTTGTCGTAGAGGTGGACAATGCACTCAGCTTTGCGTAGGAAGCGGCTGTAGGAGGCCTCCGTCCACCAGTGCAGCAGGTTCCCTGAGCGGTCATACTGGCCCCCTGTGCACACGGGCGGGCAGGCTGAGGCCGATCCCCACCCCAGAGCCCCAGCTGGGCATGACTGCCCTCCCCTCCCCACCCCCTGACCCCAATCAGCTCCTTACCCACCCTGTCCTCCCCCACCCTGAGCCCTCCTCAGGCCCCAACAGGCTCACCCCAGTCATCATATCCATGGGTCAGCTCATGCCCGATGATGGTGCCAATGCCCCCGTAGTTCAGAGACCTGGTCCACAGTAGCAGCGTCAGGTCCCAGCCCTCACCTGCCCTCTGAGAGCCCCACGCTGCTGCCCAGGCCCGGGAGGCCCCCCACCAGTCCGGGAGGGGCCCAGGGAGGCCACAGAGGCATCTGTGTGGTCCTGGGTCACTCGGGCCTCTCAGCTTCCTCAATGGCTATGTGAAAAACCAGTGATACCTGTCCAGCTGCCCTTTAGGAAATAACAGCTAACAGAGCCGGGTTGGGTGAGACAGGGTCGAGGCAGACAGGAGAAAAAGTGAAGCACCCACACAGGGTTTGCCCTCCTTCCTCGTCCCTAGGCTGGCTCCACTTTTGAAATACCCAGGATGAAAAGGGTCTATAGGGAGCCCCAGACATGCAGCTGTCATGACCCAGGCCTGTCCTGGGACAGTCTGAGCACCCCCATTCCACCTGGCAGACAAGACCTGTGCCCCACCCCTTGGCCATGTCCAGGGCAGGATCAGCACTCACTGTGGGAAGTCAGGGTCGTAGAGCGTTGGCTGCAGAATGCCGGCAGGGAACACTATGGGGAGGGTGTGGTCAGTGAGACCTGCCCCATTTCAGGCCCCGCCCCTTGTCTGGACACGCCCCCTTACCCATCTGGTTCTTGTTGGGTAGATAGTAAGCATTGAGCGCCTGTGGTGGAAGCAGCCACCTGTGAAGAGACACTGGGGTCAGCTGGGACGCACACAGTCTCTCCTCCTCCTCAAAGGCTGCCTGTGTGGCCCAGCCACAGCCATCTCCTGGGCCACCACCCTGATGGCCCCCACCTCATGCCCTGTGCAGGCCCATGCACTCCCCATACCAGCATGGCTGTGAGGTGGTTTGCCCCAACAGCCTTGGTAAGAAGCCCCTCCCCATGGCCCTCCCCTAACACCGCATCTCTGGGCCAGGCACCCACGTGGACTTGTCCACCTCCTGCCGAATCTTCTTGACTGACAGCTGGATGCTGAAGCGGATGCTGTTCAAGATATTCTTGAAGTAAGTCTTCTCATGGACCTCAAACTACATGGGGCACGGGCAATGTTCAGTGGCAGGCCAGGCAGGGTGAAACTCAGGCAGGGCCACAGGTCTGGCCTGCAGGCCACATGCCCTCCCAGACACCATCAGCTCAGGGGCCGTGGTTCCTTCTGTGTCTGCCAGTGGGCCTCCCTGGGGTCTGGGCAGGGGCCAGTCAGGCTGGACAGGGTGGGGGGAACAGGGACCACCTCATACTCCTTGTCCACCGCCTCGGGTTTCAGCAGGAAGTCTGGGTAGCCGACCATCACCATCATGTACTGGAGCTGTGGGACAGAGGGCAGGTGAGAGTGGCCCAGGCCCTCAGGAGACAGCACCCCCCCCCCACAACCAAGGGAAGAAGCTCTAGCCAGCCCAGGTGTGGGGGTCAAGGTGGGCAAGAGCAGGCCAGGTGATGTCAAGTCCATGAAGGCATCTTTGTCTCCGTAGTTCTCTATTGTTATCCCCAGCACATGGCACACAGTAGGCATTCAATACGTGTTTGGGGAACCAGCAGATGGGACTAGGGTCCCACCTCACCTTGGCCCGAGCAGCTGCCTTGGTCTCAGCATCCATCCAGTCCAGCTCCTCCAGGCGCTGGCCCAAGATGTACTTGATGTCTTCAACCAGCTGCTGCACCTGCCAGGCCAGGTGTCAGGGATCAAGGGTCAACTGAGGAGGCTCTTGCTCTGGGCCCCTAGTGCCTGGCACAGAGGGGTTCCCCTGTCATTCAGCACCACTTTCTAAACCCAGGGCCTGAGGCTGAGCACCAATGGGAGACTTTGGGGGTGGGGATCCAGGCCCTACACCCTGACAATAAGCCCACGGTCAGGAAAGAGAAAATGCCCTAGCAACAATTACAAACATTCCTAAGGCCACACCTCCTGAGTATGGAAGAGAAGGGGCTTGGTGGGGAGGGACGCCTGCTGCTGGCAGACCAGGTAGGCTTCCTGGGGAGGAGGCTTGGGAAGAGCAGCCTGGAGCCTCAAATAGGGCAAAGCCCTAAGCTGAGCCTGGTGCCCCTGGGTGTCGGCTCTCCATCCTCAGGCCAAGGCCATGTGAAGGCTCCATACCCAGCTCAGCACTTGCACCCCCACCCTAAACTCAGGGCAGCCTGACCTTGGCTTTGCTGGAGGCTGAGAAGTGCTCGTGCACAAAGAGAGCACCGAGCGCCATGCCAAAGTGGCGGTTGGCCTGGCCCAGGCAGACACGGGCCAGCTCCTGTGGCTTGTCGCTGCCCTCCATCTCACGTGCCAGCTCATGCAGCGCCTCACGGAATGGTGATGACAGGTGCTCACTCAGGACCACCACGACACGCCACACCAGGTAGTTGTGCAGAATCCTGGGTCCAGGTGAAGCAGGTGTGTGTCCAGAAAGACATGCATGTGGGCCACCCAAAGGCGCCATCCACCCCAGCCTGTGGCCCCCCAGCCTGGCGTTGGAACCAGCACCCACAGAGCCCCCACAAAGAAGGGGCAAGAGGTCATCCCAGGTATGAGAAGGCTGAGCATGAAGTGTACTGAGGCCCAGTCACCCAGCGGGACACCTTCCTGCTACTGACTAGAGCTCCCTGGTGCTGAAGAGTCATGCCAGCAACATTTCCTGACTTGCTAAGGGTTGGGAGAGTGGACACTTGGGGGTGACTATCTGCCTCGGAGCTGGCCTTGAAAGGCCTCTGTTCCTCCCCAAAGTGGGCAGAGACCAGGGAGGCTCTCTCCAAGATGGCCCTGGGCAGCAGGGCTGGGACCACACTTTCCCTTTCTGACATCCAGACTCACTCAGCCTCAACATCCTCAGGTGGAGACTGCATCTCATGAAGTTCACAGCCCTGCCCAGGGTCCCCTGGAGTGGGTAGGAGAACCAGGATCTGAACCTAGGGATCTGGACTTTTACTCCAGTGCTCTCCACCTGCCTCCCCCGTGTAGCTACTGGACAGAAGTGGAGGTGGAAATTCAAAGACCACCATGCAGACAAGTCCAGGGTGCAGGGGAGGGTCCTCGAGGCTGGTGGGCAAGGGCTTGGCAACCTGCAGCCTTACCTGCGGGGGGTGGAGCGGATAAGCTGGGACACCTGATGCATATAGTCTGTGGCCAGCAGCACCACCTCTTCCTCCTCCGAGAAGTCCTCCTGGAAGATCTGGTCCAGCAGCCACTTCCACCGCAGCTGTGGGGCCGAGGACAGGGACAATGAAGCTGGGAGTGGCAGGAACGACAGAGGACAAAGAGAGGGTCAGGGAGAAGCAAGGAGAGGACACAGAAGGCCTTGCTGTCTCTGGAGAGGGGTGACCCAGGAGTCCCAGGATCCCCCCCACCCACCTACCCGACAGGGCTGGAGCACACTCACGTGGGGGGTGATCTTCTGTAGCTGCCCCAGCGTCACCTTGTTGTACATGGAGCTCACGTCTCGCCGGAGGTCATCATACTCTGACACGGTGATCTGTGGGTGGAGATCGGAGTGGACCCAGTCCTGCCCCACGGTCCCCTCCCCAGCACCCAGCATCCCCCAGCCCACGCCTGCTCACGTTGGCCAGCTGCTGCTCCAGCCGCAGGATTTCCTGGGCCTTCTGCTCCACTGCATCGGCACCCAGCAGGCTGAGCAGACGCTCCATGAACACCCGGTATGNTTCTGCTCCACTGCATCAGCACCCAGCAGGCTGAGCAGACGCTCCATGAACACCCGGTATGCTGCCAGGATCTGCACCCGTAGAGGAGCCTGATCCAGGGTGGGGGACAGGCCTAGCCCAGGTCCACTCCTCCTGGGGCCCCAGCCTTCCCTGCAACCCCACCCCATGCCCGGGCACCTTCTCACTCTCCTCATCCTGAGCTAAGTACAGGGTCCTCTCTGGCAGGGTGAGCCCGTCCTGGTCAATCTGGGGAGATAAACAGGGCCAGAGGTCAGAGGTAAACCTGCCAGGTCCCCCAAACAGACTCAATTCCCACCCAAATGTCCAAATACAAAACATGCCAGGCATCCATTGTCACCAGAGGCAGGAGCACGCAGACACTGGCCCCTCCCTCCATCCAGAGAATCTGGTCAAAGCCCCCACGCCTGACTGTCCTGGCCTGGGGGCGCCCGGGTGGAGCCCACCTCCAATC